GTAGTTCTTTTTCTGAAAAGAACAAAATATTTTAATACAATAAGAGTGAAAATACATGTTCTACTTTCTTACACTGCAAACATAGTATGACTATGTCTACATGAATACAAGACACTTTTGAGATAACTCTTTTATATAATGTCATGAATTTTTTTAATTAAATGCATATAAAGTAAGCCTCATTAATCTGGGCACATTTGCTCCCAAGGAAATTATTTGGATTAATGAACTGTCTTAATTAAACAAACTGGTGTACAAGGATAAAGATCAAATATTTTATTCTAAATGTAGGCCACATTCTAAGGCCAAGACCATGGGGTTAAAGGAAAATAAATAAACGTGAAATACAAAGACTCAGCACAAACTGTTCAAGAGTTGATACCAAAGGATCAAGTCTTTGTGGAAATAAAAAAACTACATGTACCTGTCAGTGACACATCAATGCATTTACAACTATCAACCTAACTATTATATGTGGAACTAGAAACTCTTGTTGCTACAGCAACAAATAAGGTCTTCTCTATTTATCTGTAATACTTTAACAATAAGAAATATTTGTGGGAAAGAAAAATACTCAAATCATGTAGTTTTTCTCTTTAAACCAGAAGTTGACATTTTTGTTTCCGGTGGGACTGATACATTTCGAAACTACAAATAAGATGCAATAATGCGATGCAAAAAAAAGTTTCATAAAAAAAGTTGCAAATTTCGATTTTTTGGATCACTTCCTGTGACGACCGGAAGTGACGACGGACGATCTTAAACTTAAAGGATTTGTCTACTCATCATGGTCTTCCATCACTATTCGTTTAGTGTCTTAATATCTTACCATTAACGAGATCTAGCAATGATAACTTCTGATTTTGAGGACAGGAAGTCAGCGACCGGAAGTGAATTTTACTGAGATATTAAACATTACTGTAGAGATTTGCAGTCTGAATAACATATCTAAAAATCATTACAAATACTTTAATTATTAAATATATTCATGGGAAAGAAAAATACTCAAATCATGTAGTTTTTCTCTTTTAAACGGAAGTTGATATTTTTGTTTCCCTTGGGACTGATGCATTTCGAAACAACAAATAAGATGATATAATGTGATGCAAAAAAAGTTTCATAGAAGAAAAGTTGAAATTTTTGATTTCTTTGATCACATCATGTGACGACCGGAAGTGACAGCAGACGATCTTTGTCTAACGGGGTTTGCCTACTTATCACCATATATCACTTAATTAAGTTTGGTGTCTTAATCTCTCACCATTTACGATATCTAGCAATGATAACTTCTAATTTTTAAGACATATTGAAATCATGCGGCCGGAAGTGAATTTTACAAAGATGTCTGACACTTCTGTAGACATTTGCAGTCTAAATAACATATCCAAAAATCATTACAAATACTTTAACTATAAGAAATATTTATGGGAAAGAAAAATACTAAAATTATGAAGTTTCCCTCTTATAACCGGAAGTTGTCTTTTTTGTTTCCGGTGGTTCTGAAATATTTCAAAACTACAAATAAGATGCTATAATGTGATGCTAAAACAGTCTCATGAAAAAAGTTGCAAATTTCGATTTTTTGGATCACTTCCTGTGACGACCGGAAGTGTCGGCAGACGATCTTATCACCGTTGATTTTGCCTACTCATCAAGATCTATCACTCTAGATAAGTTTGGTGTCTTAATCTTTTACCGTTAACGAGATCTAGCTATGATAACTTCTCATTTTGAGGACCGGAAATCACGCTACCGGAAGTAAATTTTACAAAGATATTTGACGTTACTGTAGACATCAGCTTTCTGAATAACATATCCAATATTCATTTCAAATACATTACGTATGAAAAATATTTATGGGAGAGAAAAATACTAAAAATATGCAGTTTTTCTCTTATAACCGGAAGTTGTCTTTTTTGTTTCCGGTGGGACTGATTTATTTTGAAACTACAAACAAGATGCTATAATGTGATGCAAAAAAATCTTCAAAAAATAAAAAGTTGAAAATTTAGATTTTTTTTTATCACTTCCTGTGACGACCGGAAGTGACGGCGGATGATGTTAACCCAATTGGTTTTGCCTACTAATCAAGATCTATTACTCATATACGTTTGGTGTCGTAATCTTTTACTGTTTCTGAGATATGACTCAGACAAAACATTTTTGAAAAAAGCGGAAATCAGACATAACTGACGACCGGAAGTGAATTTTGAAAAACTGAAAACTTCATTTGAAAACTATTTTAACTATCTATAATCCCTGAAAATTTCATCTGAATCCATCCAGTCATCTCTGAGAAATCGACAAAACAAAAAGGGAAAAAATTAATAATAATAAAAAGAAAAAACAGTAGAATCACTATAAGGTCTTCCGTCTGAAACGGAAGACCTTAATTAAAATACTTTTGTTTTTACATCTTATTCCATTTTTTTAAAATTCAGTTTTGTCCCTAATTACCTTTTTGATATAAATCCAATATTCTTTTGTAACACTGCAGATGACACTTGATTAGCCAAGGATCCTATATTTCCATGGGATCTGTAACATGATGAAAATAAAATAAAGTAAATAGATTGATCTATTTAAAAAAAAAAAGATATAGAATTTATTAACAATTTTGATTTATTTTGCAAATTTAGCTATGATAATGTGAAGAGGTCAATATTATTAAAAAACCATGTCAATTACAAGTTTTTTTAACAATACTGACTTCTTCATATTATCATACCAATTCTTTAGTGCTTTAGTTGAAACAATTTCATTCAAGTTAGAAAACATCTTTACATTTTACAATTATTTTGGTTATTAAGTTTTGAATTCAATTTACAACATGACTTTTTATATGTTTATACACAAATAATTAACCATATATGTGTTTAAGTCAATAGAACACCTACTTGTAAGTAGTGATGCAGGGATCCCCGGTTAGATTCTCAGTACAGCCATACTGTTCCTCGTTTCCTGACACACAAGTATGCCACTTTATGTTCAGTTTGCTGTCGCAGATCTGGCTTGAACTTTCCTAAAATATTAATATGATCTTCGAGAAATTATTGACTTCATTAAGAAAATGCTTCTATATGTATACAATAATACTGTAAGTTTGTACATTATGGTGTTTAAATTAAAAATACAAGGACTAAAAATCATAAATTAACATTTTTAATACATGTATAATAAATCAAACACCTCCTGTTACCACCCACCACCAAAAATTTCTGGACTTTCCCTGATATACATGTATGTGCAAGTGTAAATTGAAAGAAAAAATACAAACCAATGGCTATTTTGGAGTTAATATAAAAAGCACCCTTGACATTCCTCTTTCCAGGTAACACTTGATTTGGTCACTGTCTAGTTCATAGCTTGCTTCACCTGTAGTATTAAATATTTCTTTTATAATCTATGAATATGATATCTGTTTATAATCAGGGCCCTTTTGAGCATAAAACAAATACATACATAAATTTATTACAGGTACATAAATATTACATAAGGCTAAAAAAAAATAGTTTTTTTTTTCCTGCTACACGACTGATCTAATTTTTTTTCACTTGATCCTAAAGTTGTTTCCTTTTTTTTTTTTTTCAATGCAACTTTTTATAATTTGCTTGTCATTTCATCATTTATAAAAGGCCGGGTGATAATAATTAAAAAGCATCCGCCATCCAAAGCAGAGAAAGTTCATACATTTCTGCATTTGAACAATTTAAGCAAAATATGTATTTCCATTTTTTGATCTGAGTAACTAAACACCACCTCGTGTGTTAGGCACAGATAAGTATAATTTATACTTTTCATTTTTTACCTATCCGGCCTTTATCATGTTCTGACACTGGGAATGTCCAGCTTTTTTTTTCTATTCTAGAAGTTACAGTCTGGCCAGGAAATAAGTTTTAATTTTTAGCTAAATAAAACTATGACTTTAGAAAGGGAAAAAAAAATCTATGTAGGTTATTGGTAAATATTTACATCCACTGAATATTTTCTTCTTTATTTCTTAAGAAACCCCATTGCGTTCATCACTGCATAAACTACAGTAGGCATGTCGCCTGTACAGATTTCTTAATCAGTGGCTGTTCCATCAATGAAACGTATAAAGACGTTCGCATCATTAATACAATAATTAATCTTTTTAATCCTACTTTAATTGATTATTTAAACAGATATAAATATAAACAATAAAATGCTTTCTTTATTTGTTGTTACTGGAATGAACGGTTCGCTTCATTAATACAATAATTAATCTTTTTAATCCTACTTTAATTGATTATTTAAACAGATATAAATATAAACAATAAAATGCTTTCTTTATTTGTTGTTACTGGAATAACGGTCGCAGCTATTGCAGAAAAAATTAACATATCCTGCTTACGCGGGTTATGTATTTTTTCAGCAACAGCTGCTTCCGTTCATTCCAGTAACGACAAACAAAGAAAGCATTTTATTGTTTAATTGAAGCTAAATATACTGGTTGTACCAGACGTGCGTAAACAAACAAGCACCATGGGCATGATCGATATACTAAAGTCGTAAATATTCACCTTATGTATCTGACACGGACACAGCATACAAAAAATCTTTTCTGCAAAAATTTTACTTCTTCGGTCATACAAATTAACATCTGTAGGGTCATGGTCTTTAAAATGTCTATACAGTCGATACCGGTGTACCCACGTGGTGCTGCAGCGGACACTGGACAAGGAGTAGTTTCACCAAAATTATGTTCATGTTCGGCTTCAGTATCACTTCTATTTTGATTCTCATGAAGATTCTTCAATGTCGAAAACCGTAAAGATTTAAAACGTACGTTAACTTCAACTTTGTTTTTTTAAGTCGAGGAAATATTTCTCGATCGCTTCGTCGGCCATCTTGTAGCATAGACAATAATGTGTAAATGGAGACTTTTATTTGACGGCATTCCGGAATCCGGAAAAAAAGCACGTGCAATTATGCGAATTCTTCCTATCACGTGATTGCTATCGGTATCTCAATCTCTCACCAGAGGGCGTTTTACGCTCATCGCTCCAACACCTCTGTTATCGTCTAAATTACAAGAATCTTGTAAAACGTAAATAAATTATAGATTTCCACCAACTTGGTATTTTTTCTTAAATGAAATTAGAAATATCAATCAGTAGCAATTCTTTTGTTCTTTCAAAATTTATATATATTTTAAAATAGCTTCAATATAAACAGCACTATTCTGTTCTGAATTTTTACACATATTTTCATTTTTAAAACCAATGCAATGAGACAAAGTCCAAAAATATTTACTACCAGAGAGCTTAAAACACGTAACATCATTGAGAAATCATACAAAACAATCAATGTCTAACAATTTTTGTCGACAAATACTTATTTGACAACCCGCGCTACTTTTTAGACGACAACAGGGGTGTAAGCGGAGCGCGCCCTCTGGTGAGAGATTGTCGGTATCTACCTTAAACTTAGCCTTAGTACGTAAGTTCCTCGAACCGTTTCATGCTTCGTAACGCAGTGGAGTAGGCTGTGACGTCATAGCTACCTTAAACTTGGTAAGACAAAGGGTTACAGACTACTAATTTTACCCCTATTTCATTGACCACTCAAGTAGTTCCAGTTTAAAAATAGAGGTTTTTTCTTAAAAATTCTTTGGGGTGTTTATGGGGTGGACTGATGTTATTTTTGGGTATAGATGGAAAGGAGAGGGTTTGAAAAAAAATAAAATTGTTAATATGTGAAATTTTGCACTTGCGCGCGTAGTAGGGAGGGTGTAAAGAGGCCCATATTTACCCTTTCCCCGAAGAGAAAGTGAAAAAAGCAGGGTAGGGGTTATTTGCGATGCCTTAGCAGGAACTGCATGCGATGAATTTTCCTGAGAGTCTGAAAAATTTTTGGACTTGAATTCTTCTTACTCTGTGCCAAGTTTCAGGTAAGTTGAGCTGGTGTAATTTTTTTAATCATTTTTTATAGTATAAAGGAATGTATAGCAAAATAATTGGTAGTCTGTGTCCTATGAGGTCAAAGGTCAAATCTCACGTTAATCAATTTACTGGCACTTTTTGGATAATTTGGAATTAATTATGCAAATTGTTGACAAATTTTATGGAAAAAATTGTATTTTGGAGAAGTTAAATGGATTTAAATAATTGAAAAGGGGGAGGGGGCACCTGCTCAGCTTGTCAAAGGGATGACGTAATGTGTGCAATTGATGTGTGTCAAACATTTATGCAATATGAATTTTGATTCTATATATAATGTTGTAGGTGACATAAAACCCATTCCTCACCTATCCTGCTATTTTAAATGCCAAATGGAGTTCAAAAACCAAGGTATGTTTTAAACATTTGATTGTTCAGATTACACTGTTGTTAATAGGAAAGTAATGCCTAATTTCTCAAAACTTTGGCTACTTGGTGTCTGTAATTAT